AAACTAAAAGATAAAAGATGAAAAACAGTCTACCCATTTTTAAACTAGAATGAAAAATTACAGTGCTCTACTGAAATACTCAGAGCCAGGAAGTGGCGGTGTAGCTCAAAGTGGTAGAGCACTAGCCTTGAGTGCAAAAGCTCAGGGATAGCACGTAAGCCCTGAGTTCAAACCCCATGTCTGACCAAAAAAAAAAAAAATTAAGAGAGTGTTAAGGAGGACAACAGTTATATTTTATGTTGGGGTAAGCGGAGGGTTGGGAAGGAAAAACAACGAAAACAAGAGAAGAGGTGACACTGTAACTGACTTATGTAACTGTAACCCCTCCGTAAATCACCTTTACAATTAACAATATTAAAAAAATGTTATTCTAACCCAAGTGCTTAGTGCAAAGGACTATATATAATTAGAAGCATATTAACATGAACTCCAACTTATAGAAACAAGAGGTTCTCATTTGACCCTGTATATAGTTCGTTCATTTTTCTCCATTGTTTTTCTTTCTTCATTTCTCTTAGTTTTTTTGTACCTTGTGTTTTGCATAATAGACAATGCAATATGTGAAGGGAAAGGGAATCACAGAAACAACAGGACAACGGATGAACCACAGCAACATTGATACTCACTTGATACTATGCTGGATATGAGCCTTACAACTTGAGGGGGGTAAGGAAGGGGTAAGTGGGAGATAAAGAGGGATGGTAATGATTATTAAAACACATGTACTTATTGCCTTACCTATGTAACTGTATCCACCCAGCTCAGCACCTTTCCAATTAAAAAATTGAAATTAAAATTTAAAAATATATGTTAAAAAAGAAGAAGAAAAAAAAGAAATACTGAGAGCCAGACCAAGACACTGTCTTGGATTCCTAAAGTCTTACAATTTTGCAGTGTCAAGGGCAAGTTTGGGAACTCAGTCTACCCATTGTGCTAGTATTCCTCTTATATCCTTCTTAAGAGAGCATTTATCACCAGCCTTCACATTTAATAACAAGCTATATCATCTTGAAGGTCCCTTGAGTATTTATAATCAATTTGTAATTCAGCTTTAGTTATTTCCTGAATGCTTTTTTTTCCTCCTCCCCTTTTTTCTTTTACATTATTTTTGTTTCATTTTATTTTGAGATAGGGTCTTATTTTGCAGCTCAGTCTGGCCTGGAACTTGATAGCCTCAAACTTACCTTCTTCCTGAGCCCATCTCTCAAGCGCTGAGATTATAAGCAAGTGTTTGTCACCATGACCAACTCACCAGCTTCTTAGGAAGAGCAAGAACCACCATACTTTCCATTTCTCTTCTATCCCTTCTCCATTATCTAAAGCTAGTGTTAAGACTTCCCAAAATTTACCATCATAAATGTGAACTGAACACTTCCATCTACCACAGAAGGTCCTTAGTTCTCTTTAGCTTCTGTCAGTACCTTCACAGGGTCCCAAATAAATTTGGAGATCAAAGCAATGATCAATGACTCTACCTAACCACAACCCACAGAATCACGCTCGGTCCCTCACTACACCCACAGAAAACCCTTTGGACATCAGGCTGAGTCAAAGTCAGATGTGCTGAAAGGATCCTGTGAATTACATTTCTACCTCCTGGGTGGCAGAGGGACCTAAAGGTCATCCACAAGGCTGCTTGGAATCACTCTTGTCCCTCCTCTTACTCCTTTTTATTCTCAATGGCCATAACTGAGCTGGCTGACACTTCCAAGACAGTGACTAGATGAAATGTGATCCCACCAAGGGGTCACCTCTCATCCCTTTATGTAAGCATGAACCTGATCTGCCATCCTCTTCTTCTAACCCCCAGAAATACAAAGAACTCTTTCACTCTCCTCTGCCACACACAAAGAAAACTGGGTGGTTGATGGCTCAGGATATTTGAGTAAGACCACTCCCTTCAGGTGAAGATTATAGCTTAGCTCATTTAATTAAATGTAATCATTTGTACATTTTGTTTTTTTTCTAGTAACAAAAGTAAAACATGTATGTAGATACTGCTCCAAAAATATCAACTGTCAACTAAAACCAAGTCTCCCTTGCTCACTCATATGCAACAATTGTTACCAAATTATTCTGTGTCCAGGAGTCTATAAAACTGTGTGCATGTGCATGCTGGTACTGGGGCTTGAACTCAGGACTTCAAACACAACTCAGGACCTCACACTCTCATTCAACTTTTTCTACTCACAGCTATTCTCTACCATTTAAGCCACACCTCCAGCCCAGCTCTTTTGCTATTTAACTGGAAATAAGAGTGTCTCACACTTTTTTGCCTGGACTGACTTCAAACTGTGATACTCAGATTTCAATCTCCTGAGTATCTAGGATTACACATGTGAAACTAGTACTCAGATGACTATAAACTTTTTAATCTTATTTTTTACCATGAGTTTCCCTATGGGAGAAAGGCTACTTACTAAAAGCACATATACTTCCTAAGCAAAGGCCCTGGATATGTGTCTACCATCTATTAGTGTATTTAACCATCCTAACAACCTGTGAGGTTATGCTATTTTCCCTTACTTTCCAGGAGATGAATCTAAGATCAAATGAACGAGACATTTGTCCAAGGTCACAAGCCTAAATCCAAGTTCAAGCTGCTTTTCTAGATGCTCCCTAGATCACTTGTCCTGTTTCAGAAACTAGAGTCTCCATTCCAAAATCCTTTTTGCAAAAAGTCTGGGCTCTGGGAACCCATAACCTTGGTCGAAAACATTGGTCCCACAACATAGAGCTCTAAGGACATACACACACTGCTAAACCTCCCCAGGCCTAAGTGTCTTCACCTAAGGCTTGTGGCAACGATAAATGGATTTCACAGGAAAAGCACGGCAGAGGACCTGGCAGGTAGTAGTAACTACTTTAAAACGGTTAGCTATGACGATCATACAGCTGGTTAACAAACCAGAATTGGAAAGAATTTTTTTTCCTTTTCTTCTCATATCCTCCACTTAACTACACAGTGATGTAGCTTGGAGAAACAATTTGGAAAGCCCTGTGAATTTGTCTGGCTCCATTTGACCCATTTCCTCTGCTTTCCTCCTCTCCCCCGGAACTGCTCTTCAAGCATTCCTTCTCTTCACACTCACTGCCAAAATCACAACCTTTACTGTTGCCAAACCCCAGAAGCGTTTACTAGTTATTACTGTGATTTTTTTTCAAATCATGGAATTATTTCAACTTTTATTTCAAAACTAGTTTCCAGCCATACCCTCCCTATTGTCACCAGTGTAAAAGTTTTAAGCTCCAAAGTTTATGGGTCTATCATTCCCCTCACACCCAATCTTGCTCATGTACCATGGCACTCTAAGGCTAACAAGACTGTGTTAGAATAGTCTTATTGTGTGAAGACTGAGCTACCCAAATTCCCTTAGAACGGTATTAAAAAAAAAAAAAAAAAAAAACAGCTGTTAACCTGACCTTACAACTTACAAACCCACGTCTGTACAACACTGTAGGCTTACTGGCCCTTTCCTCTCTAATTAAAAGCCAGATATGTAGGCTTGGTATCACCTGGCCAGGAGATGAGCAAGTTTAAGATTTTGGAGGGAAGAGGCAATAAGAAGAAGTTCGATTACTGGGGTCCTCCTTGCAGCCAGTGGTTAGCTATGAAGCTTTGACTATGTCAATTTACACTCTCTTTGGGTTTTAGTTACTTTATCTAATAAATGAGAAGGTGGGATCAACTTTTTTATAAGAGCCCTTTAAATGAGACTGTATTTTTGCAGTCATCCAAAAAGTATCTCTGTCTGGCCTGGGTCTTATCACAGCAGTGAGCTACATGTCATAGCTGTAGCCTTGGGAGATAAGCTTCAGCCAAAAGTAGATGTGCATGTGACATGCTAGCCCTAAAAGACATAGGCTCCATTTACCGCAAAAACACAAGTGTGCCAAGCTGTCAAAATAGAATTCATGGTAAGGCAATAAAATCCAGGTTCAATTCTAATAACCTAATTCTAAGTAATAACTGAGCAAGCCATTCTGAGGCTGAGACATGTCAGGGCTTCCATCTAAAATACCCTCCCCCTCACATGAATTTCTCTCAGGCAACAACTCTGCTTCAAGCTTCTGGAATGCAGCTAGTATAAGACTGGAATCCCAGGAGCATTTGTGAGGTAACCTTTGTCAAAATAGTACTACACGCAGCTCTGCTATGCTGTGCTACACTATGCTTTTTTTCTCTAATAAGAGAGACTGTGTTTCCTAATACTGACATCACAGTGGCTCCTCCAATCCAAATTCTTTTATGATGAACAACAGCTCACCGTTGTAATCCTAGCTACTCAGTGGGTTGAGATTGGAGCAGAAGCCATCAGGTTTCAGATCTACTTAAGTTAACCTGGGTAGCAAAACCTCTAATTAACCAGCAAAAAGCCAGAAGTGGAGCTGTGTCTCACGTGTACAATGCCAACCTTGTGTTCAAAAGTCAGATGACATAAGGCCCTGAGTTCAAAGCTCAGTATTAGCAAATTAAAATTTTAAGAAAAGAGCCCAAGAAATTCCCTGGAAGTGAAGGTACAGGCAGCAATGGGTCTTACTACAAAGGCCATAAAAGAGACTTAAATAAACTCCTTCAGGACAAAAATCACCTCCCAATTGGTACTTATTTAACCCTCTTCACAAGAACAGCTCTTTTTTAAATGACATTCTAAATCACTACACAACTTTGGAAATGCTAGGGTCTTTACTGATTCCCCTCCCTCCACTCCCCACTTAATATAATTTATTCCTTCCTCTATAAAGTATAGACCTCAAGAATTTTTTAGAAGTCATTTTTGAAAGCTGTACACATAAACATCAAAAAGGGAAGAGCACGCCCTAGCCAACAGAGTGCTTCCAGCTTCTGTCATGTATTAAGGCAGGGCCTTATCAGACAGCAATGGGAACTGTTCTTGCAGCCCTTAGAACTGAACCAGGCAGGACAGGGCAGGGCAGGGCAGGGCAGGGCAGGGCAGGGCAGGGCAGGGCAGCCAGACCGTGAGTCAAGATACACTTACATCACTCTTCCTGAACTTTGCTTTCAAGCTCTTCATGTTTAATCCATTCAGCCTTCCACAGTCCTGGGAGATTTGTCAACACCTAAGGAGAGAAATGAATGAATGAATGCAGATTCCCAAATAAACATACAGAGGTTCCCTTCGGACTGGATTGTAACATCAGCCATGGGTAGGAGAGAGATCCTGGGTCAGATGATTGTCTGTTATTGGCTAGATGGGAAGCCTAGGGGATATATGCTTTGTGCACCTGTGATGTGCTCCCTAGGATAACTGACATTTTCTAACTAATCCAAGCTTCATTTTTTGTCCTTATTCATTTTAATTTTGTCATTATTTTAACTGTCATATCACTAGTGTCTACTAACGGCATTTGGAAATATGTATTCATCATGGGCTGGCTTAATGAGCTAATTAAATTATGCATTGCTTTATACATTTACCATTTTATTATGATGAAAATACTTGAGAATCTGGTGATTTTCAAGCACATAAAACATTATTACTTATGCTAGAGTATGTGTGTATATAATATATATATATATATATAATATATATTACATTGATCCTTCCTTGTGTCCATGTTGCTGCCCCAAAAGCTCCCCTGGTAACTCTCTGGCTTCTAATGTGCTCAATCTCATCATTGCTGCTGCCATTAAAGCAGGCGCCTTTGAAAACCAGTCATCATAAAGACCTCCAATGGCATTCATCTGGAGGCCATACGGTGACTGAAGTGACAGAATGCATGTTTCCTTGGAAACTGTACACACTGTAATTACACAAGGTTAACTGCCAAGAGCTTCATCACAGAGAATATTGGGCTGGTAGTAGCTGCTCACCAAGTACCAACTCCAGGGCAATGGTTCTCAAGGCTGGCCCCTCCCATCACCCTTATCATTCACCTACATTTCTAATATAAACTCCTATGTTCTGACTGATGTATCTTCAATCTTCCCCATGTACTTTACCACCCTCCTTGGGAATAATCACTTCACTCTTCGCTTTGGTAAGTAACACATGTTAAGATTCCACATATAAATGCAGCCTAAATACTAAAAAGTTTAATTCAATTTTCACTACAGAAAATGCTGTATCTATTTGGCTATGGTTGGGATGCAGTTTGCCCCCAAGGACTCATGGCTGAAAGCTTGGTCTCTCCAGTGGTACTGTGGGAAGTGATACAATCTTCAAAGATAGAGCCTAGTGGGAGGTCTTTAGGTCATTGGGTTGGGGTATGTCCACAGAATGCTGGTCTCCCAGACTGAGTTCTTACAAAAGGACTTGTAAAAATAAAATACGAAATAAATCTTAAATCTCTTACTAAATCTCTTACTTCCCCACAATCTCATCTTTCATTTTTCCCTGACTTCTCCAAATATTTTCCTCCTTTATGGTATCATCTGCCACAAGCTAAACTGATGCTAGCGTGAGGCAGTCCTTTAAATCTACCTAACTGTGAATATACCTTTTTTTCTTTAGAAAGTTATCTAAAAACCAGTATGTCATTATAGAAACAAACACACCAAAAAACCAGACTCTATGCTAAAGTAGTTCCTCTAACTTCATTTAGCAAATATACTATCTGCCTCCTTTGGAAGATTGCAACAGTGAAAAATGGTAAGAAAAACACTTCACATTCCAGGCCATTCACTTCTTATTTGTTTTTCCAGTAGTTGTTCCTGCCCTCTGGCCCCCTCCTAAATGGCACAGTAAAAACTGCCAGGAACAATAAAACCTCTTCTTTCCACACAAATCCCAACCCACTTTAAACAATGCAAGGCTCTCCAGGTCCTCCTGGGGGCCCTGGCAATTCGGAATTGGTACTGGAAGAGATTTCAACTGCTTCAAAATTAGAAGTTTGTGGTCTTCTGGATCTTGAATGTAATATTTTAAATACATATACAATATTTTCAAAGGAAGAAGCTTCCTGGTTTTCATTGCATTCAGCAAGGTACTTGGGTCCATCTTCAAAGGACCACAGAGCTAGCAAGATCTTCGTTTTCTGGAGGCAGAAATGTCCCTATAAAGGTCTCTTGATGGAATTCGGAGCCAAATCCCTAAGTCTGACAGAAGCTGAATCTTTTTTCCACTGCCTTATAGGGCTGCACAACTAAAACCAAAAACTCACAATCTGTATTAAAAGCATGAAACATGGTGTATTTCTCTTTTCCATCAAAACCCGAACATGCATGAAATGTGGAATTTTTGTGTACTGGCTAAGAAATACGAAAGTGCACTATCATAAAGGGAAGATCACATGTGAGCAAAGTCCTATCATATAGTAGGTGTTAGATAAATGTTAACTTCTCAAGAGCCACCTGACAAGTGAAAAGATGAACTGTGTGTGTGTGTGTGTGTGTGTGTGTGTGTGTGTGTGTGTGTGTGTGTGTGTGTGACTTAACTGAGGGAATTGAGCATGCTAGGCAAGCCCTTTAATACTTGAGTGTACCGTTGTTTGGATTTTGTGTGCTGGTAGTGGAAGATGAACTCAGGGCCTCACACTCTCGCACAGATTTTTCACTCAAGGCTGGCACTTGTATCACTTGAGCTACAGTTCCACTTCCAACATTTTGGCTGGACAGAAAGATGATCTCACAGACTTTTCTGCCTAGTCTGGCTCTGAACTGCAATTCTCAGATCTCAGCTTCTGGAACACCTAGGGTTACAGATGTGAACTTTCAGCATCCATCCTGTTTTTTTTATGTTTATAGCGCTATCTCCTCTAAACTGCTTTTTTTGGCCTTTCTTTGTCAAAATTGAGGATTGAACGCAGTGGCTTATGCTCACTAGGGTAGTGCTCTACCACTTGAACCATGCTTCTAAAACAAAAAACTGAACTTTTGTCAACTAGTACTATCCCAGTGAAGTTGGTCCTAAGGAATGGCTGACAAAAGTTTCACACAGCTAGCCATTATTGTAAAAGCCTTTCAAGGTCATCTCAGATTCCTCCCCATTCTTACCATTCTGGTCAAAACTTATTTAAGAAGATAGAAGAAACAAAACCCGCAAGCAACAGAATGGCTGTTGATCCTTCCCATAGAAACTGAATCTCAAAGGGCAGGGGACCAGGAATTTCCTTGGTTGAATCTCTACACACTGAAGTTTGAGAACCTAGAATGGATAGATAGATGTGGGAAACAGACTTGTCAGAGTGGGCCTAGCTTACAAATCAAACTGGAGCTGGCTTTCCATGTCAAAACAATTTTTTTTCTTTTTGGTCCAAGACTGGGATTTGAACTTTTGATCTAATGCTTTCACTCACTGACTAACACACTACCTACGACCTGAGCATACCTACAAAACAGAAATAATAATGACCATTTGATTACCATTCCTACACTGCTATTGGCTCATAATTTCCATACCAACTATTTCTAGAAAATGAAAAATATCCCTCAAATTTAATTCTTTCCATCCTCTAGAAATAGCCAAGGAAAAAGACTAAATCAATGCAGCTGAAAGGGGAGAAAAAGAAGCCACAACTGTGCAAACCCACAAAGTGCAGCCCACCAAGAACTACACAGCACATTCATTCTTTCATTCACCCAACACAAGGCCTGAGGCAGCGGTGGTAGGATTTTTCGAGGTCACAGAGACTGGAAGGATGTTATGTTAGCTTTTTGGTATATTTGGCTTTGGCTTTTTTTTTCTTCCCATTTTTAAAGCCTGGCAGTGAAAAGTATGCAACTCTCATTTGAAGGGGATTAAAGAAATAAAGTAACGGATTCCAAAGGTTCCCAGGGGAAGGTAATTAAGTACTAAATAAATGTCTTTCTGGAGCCCAAGGCTCTGGGTGTGAGAAGCTGTGTGGTCCATGGTATACATTTCCAGGATTACAAAGATGGGGAAAGAGATGCTGAGAATCTACATAACAGTTAGAAGCAAGAACCAGAGCTGGGTATAACTAGAGTTATTAAAAGGCCACTTCTGTCCTGGCATTTGGAAAAGGTTCTAACGCCTGGAAGCCATGGCTAGTAGGAAAAACCTGGGAGGTTATAGGGAAATGGTGTCAGGTCCCAAGAGGGGACCCCTGATTAAAACATCAGACCTCAAATCCACATATCCAAGGAAATGTCGAACAAATGAAGAAACTAAACTATTTCTCATTGTCAATATGTACTTCAATATTCTCAGACAACAAATAATCTGTCTGCAAGCAAAGGATTTTTTAAACCTATTTTAGCAATTCTCTTGATCTGGTAAAACAAAAACTTTATTCTACAAAAGTCTCTTCAGACCATACAAGCAAAGGTGTCCTGAACAGTATAGCATTTCATACCATCCCAATTCCTCCTCATGGGCAGAAGCTATTTCAAGTCTCTTTTCAAGTCTCAGTGCAATGCATTTTGATCTACAGTTGAATGGCTTATCTGCATGACTGATTTTTTTTTTTCTGCTGGTACTGGGGTTTGAACTCAGGGCCCCATACTGTTAGGCTGGAACTTTCCCACTTGAACCCTGCTCTCAGTACTTTTTCTTTTATTATTTTTAAGGTCTGGTGGTTTTTGCCTAGGGCTGGCCTGATCTGCGATCTGCCTATTTATAAGTTCTGTGCAGCTGGTATGGCAGGGACCACCCCACCATTTCCAGCCTAGGACCAAATTTTAAATATCAATTATGGCAAGGAAGAGCATGTACTATTGGAGGATTCAGAACTGACCAAGGTAGTAAATAGTAAGAGTAGAAAACAAGCAAAAATCTTGCAACCAAAAAAAATAATAATTTTTAAAAAAAATCTCACAACTAGGTATTAAATCCTGCAGAAATTCAGAGTGGAGATCTTTGAGAGTGGGGAAAATGAAGGAAGCCTTTATAAATCGGGGTGGACTTTCAAGGAAGCACAGGATTTGGGTGGGCTGAGACTGAGTTTGTGTTAGGAATCATCACACACACAATCCTCTTCAAAGACCAAGCCTCCCCAGAACAAAAGATCCATTCTTTGACCCCTCATGATGAGGGAGGGATTGAAGTTCCATTACTATTTTTCAGTAAATTTGAAATTTTACATCTCAGATAGCCCACTTACTTTGGAAGAGAGGCCTTTTAGGATATAATTTTCATTTGTTTACTACATACCTGGGCCCT